TGCTGGGCACTGGGGGGTGGGCACTGAGCGGGGTAGGGGGTGGATGCTGGGCACTGGGGGGTGGATGCTGGGCACCGGGGGTGGGCACTGAGCAGGGGGCAGGGCTGGTTGGGGGGCACTGAAGGGGCAGGACGGGATGGGGCTGGGTGCAGGGCTGGCCAGTGTTGGGCTGCTCGGGAGGTGGCAGCGGGTGGGTGCCAGGCATCAGGGTGGGGATGGGCACTGGGCAGGGGGATTTGCTGCAGTCCGGGGCCAGGGTCTGCAGGCTTGTGCCATTGCCAAGGGGCTGGTGAAAAGGCACTGGGGCAGCGCCAGAGCACGACCTGGGTCAGTGGAAGGGCTGGTGGGTCCAGCTGAGAGCCAGGACTCCTCTGGGTTCTGTTCTGGGCTTGCAGGTTGGGGGGGATCCGGTGGGGGGAGCGGGGGAGCTGGGTCCGGCTGTCTGTGCCTGTGACCCCATCCCGGAGCCGACGGTGCGAAGCGCCGGGGCTGGCGGAGCGGCACTGATGTGACTGTGCAGGGGATTATATCGGAGCTGAGTCAGTCCGATCCCCGTCCCTGGGGCACTGGTGGGGTCTGGCCGAGGGCCCAACCCTGCTCTGGCCTGTCGGGAGCAAGGGGAGGCAGGACCCCGCTGGCCTGCTCCTGCCAGGGGGATCCTTGGGCCGGCCAGAGCCAGGGAGGGGTTGGTGTCCAGGTGTCCCCAGGCGCCTATGGCCAGTGCCCATCTCCTCCAGGCTCAGCGTGCCCCGGGGCATGGCCCCTCCTGCTGCCACGTTTCCTCTGCCGCCCAGATGTGCCACGGGGCACGTCCGAAACAGCCTGGCCTGGGAGTCAGAGCAGCTCCAGCCACCACCTCAGTTCTGGGCCCAGCGGGCTCTGACTACAGGGGTGCTGGAGCCAGGGTGCTGCCCGGGCTCTGGGGGCTCCCGGCTTGGAGGCATGGAGAATGGGGAACAGAGACTTCCCCTGGAGCAGGCGCCGGTTCTCATTCAGCCCCAGGGTGGGGGAACTGGCTGGCTCATGGGGTCGTTCCCATCTTGGGCTCCCACCTGCCCTTGTGGGATTGCTGCCCGGCCCAGGCCATCACCCCTCCGCGGGTGGGTGCCCCCCAGGGTCAAAGCCTGTCCCTGGGCCTGGCAGTCAGGACAGGGGCCTGACTGCTGCTCGAGCATTGGCACAGGAGGGACCAGGGATCCCAGAGCACATGTGGATTTGTGCCCCCTCGGCTGGGCCACCCGGCTGGGAACAGGACTGGTGGATTTCAGAGCGGGACCAAGGGGGGCACTGAGGGTGTTGGGAGCCGGGCACGTGGGGGGGCAGCCCTGTACCCCCAGTGAGGGAGCGGGGAGGATGCCCCCCTGGGGCCGGCCCACCTCTGACCCACGGCCCCTTGTCCCCAGCCCTCGGAGTGTGAGCAGTGCACCTGTGACCCGGACGGCATCGCTCGCTGCCTTGTGGCCGACTGCGCCCCCCCGCCCTGCGTCAATGCCGTCTACGAGACGGGCCAGTGCTGCCCCACGTGCCAGGGGGGTGAGCAGGGGGGGGGGGCTGGGGCGGGGGGGGGGGGGGGGGGGCGGCCCGGGGGGGGGGGGATTGCGCCCCCCCCCCCCCCCCGAGGCAGGGAGTGGTGCAATCACTGTGGGGCCCTGGGCAAGGTGCTCAGCTGTGGGGTGGAGAATGAGAGGGGAGGGGAAGGCAAAGCCTGAAGTTTGGGGAATGGCCCTGGGTGGGGATGGGGGTGGGGCTGGACAGGGCCCCTGGTGGCACCGGGCTCTGCACTGCTGGGGGAGGCTGGCTGGAGGCTCCCGTGGCAGGCGGCCCGGCGGTACCAGGAGCTGCCCGGCCATGCCCACTGCTGACCGGAGCCCCGCACCCCCCCCAGGTCCCAACTGCTACGCGGACAGGAGCCGGACGCGCGTCATCCCCGCTGGAGAGGTCGTCTGGGTGGAGCCCTGCACCCGGTGCCGCTGCCACGACGGCCAGGACGCAGGCTACTGGGAGGGCAACCGGGTGGCCAAGTGCGAACTGCTCCGCAACTGCAGCCCGCTGGACCGGCGCAACTCCTGAGCGCCCCCCTTCCGGCTGGGCTGCAGAGCCCCTCCCCCCAACCCCATCCCCCACCTC